TTAAGTATATATATATAATCCAGAATGTTCAAGGTCATCTTGCGCGCATGCATCTCGAACAACTCCTTCCATCGACACTTCACACTCGTACGTGTAGGATGAGACGACTTCAAGAGTTACTGATAAGAAAAATCGAACCTGATACCTCAGTGACAAACAAACCCTTGAGTCAAAGACCAAGACCACTTGTTCATCCATTGGGTTGCTTATTTTGTTCTTAGGTGAATTTTTTATCTTGGGATCAACACTTTAAGGTTCTGATCATGAGGTCATTCTGACGAGAAGGATAGAAAAATATTGTTTGGTTGTCAATTTTGAGATAAAAAAAACTTTTATCGATTTGCCATCTTTGGTTAATTTTTTAAACATTTTACCAAATTCTTTTATTTTTTCATACTAGTAAAAATTACTAAAGACAAAAAAAACTCGGACAACGAAACAGTCAAAAAATTTGGAGAGAATATTTCTGAGTGAGAAACCAAACAAAGTAATTGACGGAGAAGCTTGAACGAACAGAGAAGAAGGAAAAGATAGTACACAAACATTAATATCCAAGATATACTTTAAGCTAATAATTAATATCAAATCCATCGATCATAAATAAATACATGATTCAAACCACAATAACCTTAATTAAACTACGTACTAAACAAACAAACATACACACCTATCCTTATTAACTGTCTTAATCGATCTTAATTTATTAGTAATTTTTCTACTCCTGCCATCAATTTGTACCATAGGGTCAGAACTAAAAACTGCTTAATCAGGGGGCCAAAGCAAAGATCAGGGGGTTAGCTAAATTTGGATAAACCCCACTGGTAATTTTCCCCTGAAAATCAATGCCATTAAGAAGGTGATTAGTGCATGAAAAGCCAGACCCTATCAAACCCGTTAAGAACCCATCATCTTCAACTCCTCCGTTACCAGACCAAACCCGATATTCGTCTCCGAAAGCCAAAACGCTCGAAGCTTGATCTTCGCATGGGCCTGCAGCTTGATCTGGAACTTCCACGAGGCTTGGAAGACTGGAGGCTTGAGCCGGGTTCGAAACCAGCAGCTCCTGCGGAAGGACTAGGTTTTGCTGATAATAATTCATGTTGGAAACAATATCTGGATTATTACCATAATAGTGATGGTAATTGTCGACTAGTTCAGGCGCAAATGGCGATACGGGCGCGGTTGAGCCGAAATTCATGGCTTGGCTAGTGTTTAGTGCCAGTAGCTTCTTCTTCAGCTTGCTGTTCCAGTAGTTCTTCACGTCGTTGTCTGTTCTTCCCGGCAAGTGAGAAACTATGACCGACCACCTAGATAAGCCAAAAAAAAAAGAGAGAGAGAGAAGAGTTTAAGCCCATAGAATGCTGGTCGAACTCAATTAGCCCTTTTAAACGATGTTTTCAAAATTACCTAAAAGATTACAAATTGCAAGATATAATCAATTGAAAAGTGACACGGATTTTCAAAATGGACTAAAGAATTTGGACGGAGTGAGTATATCGTTGTTGTTTTTTTTTTTTTTTTTTGGCCCATCAAAAAAATTTATATCGTTGTTTTTTAAGCATTTCATTAACGAATAACGATTCACCATATTGATCTCTTTTACTTGCTCTGTTCAATTTGTTTGTCCGATTGAGGGAATATAATTTTTAAGGAAACCCAACTACTGTTCTAACAAACTTTTGACTTTTCAAAAGTTAATTACGCTCCGACTTTTTTGTACCTTAATTCAAATATTAATATATATACTGTACTAAAAAGAAAACTCTGTTAATTCAAAACTGTGTGGAGGCCGTGGTTCGAGCCTCACAAGGTGCGTTTGGAGTTCAGGGCTATGAATAGCTTTTGGATCTCCTGTTTACTAACCTACTAACTCTCTCAATCCTGCTGATGTATATCGCCGAAAATATTTTTAAAAATAGACAAACATTTTAGGAAAATGATCGAGTCAAGATGTGAACAAACAAATTGGGTTGTGGGAGTAACAAAATTCGTGGAACTACGAAGCCAGTGGCAATGATCTTCCATTTAAGCGGTGATATAATTTATAAAAGATGACAAAAACAACAAGTCTACAGTCATCGCACCGGAGGACAACGCATGCCATGGGCCACACAAAAATACAAAAAAAAAAAAAATTCATAAATTTTAAACTAATATTTTATGAAACCCTGTAAAAATCTAGTAACTTATGACATTGCAACGGTAATTGAGACTTGCCTGCTTCCTATAGTGTTATACAAAGTCAAAATGATGTTATCTTCCTCTTCAGTGAAACCTCCATGCTTGATGTCTGGCCTAAGGTAGTTGAGCCATCTCAGACGACAACTCTTGCCGCAGCGCTTGAGTCCTGCTTAAGCAAATTAAACCATGATGATCAAGAAAGAGTTGTGTACGTGAAAAGAATGAAATTTTTCATGAAGTGAGCATTTGAAAATCAAGAGAGAGAGAGAGAGAGAGAGAGAGAGAGAGAGAGAGAGAGAAAGACCTGCTTTGTGAGGCAGAGCAATCCAATTGCCACCTGTGCCAAATGTGTGAATATAGTTCTTGAGAGTGGAGTCCTCTTCAGGAGACCATGGGCCTCTCTTCACCTGGGTTTTGTCACAACATGGTGCTCTCCCCATGCCCAATAACTGTGGTTTTGTGCTTTGAACTTTTTATTACAGGAGAGAAGTACCCTAATCAGTGGGCTTTGGCTGCATGTGGTTTTTAAAGAGAAAGAGAGTGTGTATGTGTCATTGACTTAGTCTGTCCCTTAATGAAATTATTCTAACTCTCTCGGAGTACTCATGTGGCCAGTGACGGAGTCAGGATTTTGACCTGACGGAGTCAGCCTAATAGACATATTTTTATCAGAACCTACACGTAATAAGTGTCGTAGAGTTTTTTTGCTTACCAATACATTATATTTGTACATTGAACCTTGTTCGTTTAACACATTTGGTTATTTTTGTTTTGGTAGTGGGTGGAGAGAGAAATAGGGTAATGATTGGAGAGAGGGGTAATAAGTGGAAAGAGATAGAGAGATAAATGAAATTAATAATTGGAGAAATAGGGTAATGATTAGAGAAAGATATAGGGTAATGATTGAAAAACAAAATTAAAACAAAGTAAATATGCTAAACGAATAAGACCTCTATTCTTCGTAGGTAACAATTGTCTAGCGGAGGCGGTAAGGTTTAGAATTTCCAAGCTTCACTTTCTCGAATAATTGGGTCCCTTAAAGTTTGTGTGTTTGTTCACTCTTCCAAGCTTCACTTTCTCGAGTTGGATAAGAGAGGACACCCAGTCAACGGTGGGTTCTCTCTCTCTCTCTCTCTCTCTCTCTCTCTCCTTCTTCTTCTTCTTTTCCCCATCATTGAATATTATCTCGCGTTAGATGCTCTTTACAGAAAACGTGCATTTTTTATTTTTAAAAAATAAAAATTCTACGTGCATAATTTTTCTAATTTCTTCATACCAAATTAAATATCTCAATTTGTTCGATGAATTGGTGCCAAAAAGTTTTGAAAATTACGCACGGAAGTACTCCATTTTTCTCATCCAAAAATTGACACAATTTTTTTGTGGGGGACACTTAAAAAGATAGAAAGGCACCACGTGGCTCTTACCTCTCGTCATCAAGATTCTCAATCCTAAGTGTAGGTTAGGCTTTTTGACAGAGGGAGAGTTGAATGAACCCAGATCTATACTCCCCCGGCCGTGTTCATGTGTATTTACAAATATTAGACGTTTTTTTTTTGCCGGACGATATACATTAATTAGCGGGAGTTAATAGAGTGTTAGTATGTTAGTTAATAGGGGTTCAAAGGCTATCCATAGCCCTAAACCCCAAACCTGCTCCTCGTAGAATTCGAACTTTGGTCACCACCGAGGAGAGAAGTTAATATTCTTCCAAGTTCCAAGTCAATTATAGGCAAGCTTACTCTCAATGTCCATCCAAGTTCCAAGTCAATACCTCGTGTTTCCGTAATTTTTAGTTGACAACATAAGGGAAAAGGGCTTTAAAAGATACTCCTGCTACACTTAAAAGTGGAAATGTGATACATATACGGCTATCAAAACTGACCCTGAGTTAAAGCGTATTGCAGTCGTTTTTAGACCTCTGAATTTTTTTGATTTTGAAGGGTTTCTCCTACTTTTTTTTACCCCTTACAGTATTCCGATTCTTTTTTTACCCCTTTACAATAATCCGATAAAAGAGTCTTATTTTTAATTTTCTCTTTAGGCCCCCGAAAAGTCAAGGCCGGCTTTGACGACTATATATATTTACCTACGGGTTGCAGAAATTTCTTCAGCCGCCGAACTTTTTTTTTAAACAAAGTGGAAGTGCACGTAATCCACCCCGTCATCTGCAATAGGAAATGTTGTCTCATCACACCACACCTCTATCTCTAGGGAACCCATTGCACTTATGTCTGAACCGAAAATAAAATCCCTGCACATGTGGGTGGTGTTAGAAATATGTCTAGCCCCAATAAAAGATCATGGGGACTCAATTCTCGCCTTCTCCAAACCACGTCCTAAGTTAGGGCTGCCGAAACTTATATACGAGGCTTGCCCAAATTTCATGATTGAAGCCCATACTCGACAGAAAAAATGTATGGTGTGGGCTGGTAAAGTAGAGACACAATAGACCTAACCCAAGGTGTGGGAGCAGATACCATGCTGACTCTAGCTTCAAAAGAACTTGTAATATCACGACTTCGTTTGGACTAACAAAGCGACTTATTCGAATTCGAATATGGGAACTGACTTACTTACATGTTGAACTGACTCACTTAGATGAAGAATTGACGTGCTTGCACGAAAAACAAGAAATAGATTTGGAAAAAGAAGTCGACTTCGAAGAAGGATCTGAATGGGAAACATATTCCAACTAGGAAGGAGAAGAAAATTTCGTAGTCGATTGCGATTTTAATTGAACAATAAAATAGCAATCGCAAAAGAAGGTGAATAGAAAAACTTATTAGATACCCGAGTCAACAGTATCTAATAAGTTCTACCTATTATTGGATTTGAACCAAAGACTCCCGCTATATGAAAGCAATACTTTAATCACTGAGTTAAGTAGACTATTTCTCATCCCAAAAAGAACCAAACCAAATGGTACCCATCGCATATAAATAAATGAAAATATCGTATATAAATAAATAAATATATCTCTATCTTATAAGTTTTTCTATTCGCCTTCTCTCTTTTTTTGACCTTTTTTTTTTTCGTTCCATTACAGCCCAAATTTCATGATTGAAGCCCATACTCGACAGAAGATTTATGGTGTGGGCTGGTAAAGTAGAGACAAAATTGACCTAACCCAAGGTGTGGGCCCACACCATTCTGACTCTAGCTTCAAACGGGCTTATGCAATGCTAGCCCATCTAACCCAAATCAATGTTTGGACCCAATTCTGCCTCCTAAGGCCCTAACTTTGACGCCTAACATCCCTTCCAGTTACAACTCACAGCCCATCAGTTCAATTTTAAATTGGGCCTTTTGGGCTTCTCTTTTCTACATGAACGATGAACTAGTGAGTTGAGGCAGCTACCTTAAAGCAAGTAGGCTACCTTTTTTTCTTTCACTTGATACGATAGATGTCTAAGTCTACACCTAAAAGGACAAGGAAGGAGTACCGTTAAGCGGTATAGTGGTGAAGCAAGCCCAAAGGGCATCAACAATCACCACACCAAGTTTTCGTACTCTTTGCGAGAATCAAACCCTCACCTTCCATGTGGACGAGGTGAGAAAGTGCCATTGAACGACAAGTCTATTGGCCAAGTAGGCAAGCTTAGTTCGCTATCCTTGTGCAATCACTACTGAGAGAGTCAAGACGGCAAGAATTGATTATTAATTCTACTTTATACTAGTGTTTCGTTGTTAGTTTCTTCTTTTCCCATATGGGTCTATTGCTTGAATTGTTATGTATATATTCGGCTTGATTTAGTTGTTGCAACGAATTTCACATGATTGATATAGTGTCCGGTTATTGCAATTCTTTGATTGTAATTATTCTACCGATTGACATAGGGAAATAAAATACAAGATGACGTAAGACTGAGAAATCGAAGAACCCGTTATCGTTAATATCGTTAATGATACATGAAGTATCTACTTCAACGAGAAATGAAAACAAAAAACAGTACACGTGGTAGGGGAAAATGTTATGAAAGTAGGGTTATGGAAAATTCTCAAGAACAGAACCTCGAATTATTAAGTTTTGGAAGGCATCAAACGGGATGTCAATTTTGGCTGTAGATGAAGTGCGCAACCTTTAAAAAGCTTTAGTGGTTTGAAAAATTGACGTGAAAGACAGAGACGGAGCCAAAATTTTTGCGTAGACAGAGTCCCTTGCTCCATCTTGGTGAAAGAAGTCTAATACAAAATGGTAGATTAATCCCCAGCAATAGACCCCAATTAGATAGTAGTTTACCTTGAAATAGTTTTTGCATTATTGGTCTGAAATTTCCATCCATTAGTCATGGTCTTATATTCCCTTTCAAAAAGCCCCCCTAGTCCTAGTAAGCAGGCTACATTTTCCTGTGCCGGGTCAAAACCTAGTTAGTTACGAAAAAATATTTCAGTAATTATTCAGTGGCTTATGGACGCCGCCACATAGTGTTGAGGCACTACGTGGTAATGGCCCAAACGAAAAGATAAGCCATCGTGTTGGTGACTTCTTAGGTTAAAATTAATTGAACCGACTGCCGAATATTTCTACAATGCTTATGCAATGGGGAAGTATATTCAAAAGCAGAGTTCTTGAGAGAAAATGACAAACAAAGACAATTTAGCTATTTTCTTGTACTCAATTTCCCCCCCTCCAAATTCTTCCAATTCTTTCTTGAAACTTCATCTTTTTCTAGCCTAGGTACGAGGAGTGATAGTGTGCAACTAAAAACCAATTGGCACGTCAAGAAGGACCAGTCCTGGGCATAAGCTCCAGGAAATCGTCTAGGACCTCCCGTTTTAGCCAAATAACAGGGCCCCAAAATGAAAAAATATAATAAATATTACTATATATGTTTGAATAATTTTACAAGAAGGTTTTGTAGCTTGGTGGTAAGACGCTCTTGTATGGGGGCATGGGTACTTGAGTTCGATTCATGGCTCTGCTTCATTTTCTACCCCAAAGTTTGGGAATCTGTACAACAAGAAATGTTGCTGAAACCACTTTGGAGTCTCGAACGCACGCCCTTCAAAACTTAAAGGCCACTTTGCCACTGAACCACCAAGCTAGCTTGATTTCTATATTGAACAACTAGTAAATATATTGAAAAATGAGAGGTCCTATTTTTAAATCCCGCCTAGGACCTCGGAAATCTCAAGGTCGGGCCTGACGTCAAGCTAAACAACATAGTCCTCCAATTGAACCGCCGCTTTAAATTTACTTCTCTGGTTCTGCTCTTAATCATCCTCGTCCTCACACATTCTGCATGCGTGACATATTCACAAGAGACGTTTTCACGTTCGCGCCCGTGCTCACGCTTTATGTGATTGGATCCTATTCGTGGTGGACATATCAATCAGTGTCAAACTGACTTTGGATTTAACTTGTGCAACAATTTCTTGACGTTGGCCTTGGCACTGTAAGCTCACGGGCATGGAAACATAACACTAGGAAAAGGTAAGGAAGAAAGGGACAATTAATAAATGGATAGAAAAAGTTATCCTTATCTTTTGTTTATATATATATATATATATATATACTAAATACAGCCAGTCCCTATCAAAAGCCTAAAAAATTTATGATATTCATATCGTGTTCTATTATTTTCCCTTTTTTTTTTGGGGGGGTAAAATATTATTTTCCCTTTACTTTTTCTCTAGTTAAACTCATTATGTCTGTCACATCAAAAGGGGAAAGAGAAAAAAACGCATTCTCTTGGGATTAGTAGAGCTGCAACTGACAGAAATAATATTGGACAAATTTGTGCACAATTTTTTTTTTTGGCTCACTTTTGAATTCTACACAAATCATTTGAGTGGTTCATTAATTTTAAAAATATTTTTTGGACTGCTACCGTAAAAAATCAACTGAATAGGATACATATAAGCGTTTGATGCAATCTTATAACTCTTCATTCAGAATTTCGGATTAAAATTTTGAATAAAAGTTATAAGATTGGATCAATCCATTACATGTATCATTTTGAGCTGATTTTTAAGGGATCTCTAAAAAGATATTTTAAAAATTAATGACCGGATCGAATCCTATGTGTGAAAACCAAAAGTGGGCCACACGCAAAATTTGTGCACAAATATGTGCAATGTTGTCTGTGTCGGCAGTGTTATTGTTAGTAGAGATATAAGACCCCTATAACATGCAGTCATGTCTTGAACTTAGTAAAGAAAATATCAAGAGATTTAAATACTTTCCGTGGAAACCCATGGTTTCTGCCACCCAGTGGCTTTATCGAGCGTTCACTGCAGTAATCTGAATTGTTCTCCACGTAGAATCCGCAAAGTTATATGTCTGTGTAAAAAATCAGCTTGATCGAACGTCAATAACTATATATCGAAAGGTATATTTTGATTTGTAAAATAGACAGTTAGAAAAAAATAGCTCTGGAAACTACTGAATATCTATTGATTGTTAATTTCAAGGTTCTAACATTCTTAAAAAACGGATGCTTTTCCTTAATGCAACATTGGGAGTTGGCATAGTGTTCAAGGCTTGTGACTTAATTAGAGTATGATTTTGCCCCTCATAAGCATCGGTCATTTTTGGGTGTGTTTCACTAACTAAAATAAGTACTGCTACAAGTTATTTTTTGAACTAAAGGTAATTTATTATGAGAGAAGTATGTCTTGTACAGCGAAAAATAAGTACTTAAAAAATAAGGATTTGCAAAACGGGACCAAACCTATCAGGTGTTATTAGCAAGACTTTACTCCAACTTTAAACAAACTCTCCACCAAAAAAACAATAGAATTGGATACTTCCTTTTTTAAAAAATAATATTTGCACTTTAAAATCAATGTAATTTCAAAATCATTTTTTTTTATTTTTTAAAAATATCTGCATCAATTTTTAAAGTGTTAATATTATTTATCTTTTCTTTTAACCTAAATAGAATCAGATGCTTGCATAAATTGGCCCAAATACCCAAAGTTAAGAAAAAACATTGTGAAAAGATAATTGGCACCAGTGCATCTATCACGTCAACCAAGTGGGGAATAAATTATAATTTCGCAAAAGTTATTCATCAGTCGAAATCCCAAAATATCAATTAAGTTCCTGCCTTTTTAGTCAATTGACTAAAATATCAATTATAAGTGCATGGCCTTTTAGTCAATTGGCTCCTTGTCCCATCAAGAAAACTACTTCCTAGCTTTTTCTAAAACAAAGTGATTTTGGCACTTCATATTTAGCTATTAACGCTTTATATTTTGTCTTTATCCTATACAAAATTATCAAATTATCTTTCATTTCGTTGATATTCGTCCAATTTAAACGATATTATTATAATTTCAAATAGAAAAACTATAAAATAAATAAAATAAAGCGAATTGTGAAAATCAAATTTCTTTTTAAACTGCAGTTATTACAAGTTGATGATACTCCGTATTGTTTATGATTCGTTTCTTCTTTTTTGCAAGTTGATCTAGTTATCATTAAAGTGAATATTTTTCAAGCCACGGGGGAATTAACCAAATGAAGAGATAAACCCATGAGAGAGACACCTAAGAAAGGAGAAAAACTTACATGCAATGCGAACATTGATGTATAACGTTATATCTTACACACTGGACGTTGATATATCATGTTACAACATACAAACTATATCACCAACGGCCGGTTGATACCACGTTATATCTTACACACTGTATATTGATGTACCATGTTACATCATACACACTATACTACCAACCAATAAACATTCACATGATAAAGCGAATCAGGCTACTCAAATGTGTGGTTGGTGGTATCACTGCCAATAACCGTTCCCATGCTAAAAAGAATCACTTTATTTAAATTTACCCATCTTCTTCACGTCGGCTCTACAATGTACAAAAATTCGTGTCACTTGAAAACAACCACGTCCACGTCTCAAATCGTAAAGTTCACCGTGCACTTT